TTCTTCCCTCTACTGTATAATAATGTTATTGTGGTTATTTAGGCTTTAAATGTTCAGAGATACAACCCCCTCTCTATATTCAGTTCATTTTCTCTCAGACACTGACTCAGCCGCGGATTGTGCAGCACTGACGTTTCTAACCAAACGGCATCCTGTGAGCTGTGATCATCCCATTTCCCCATCTCTGTGCAGTGATTGGCTATTGTAATTGATAGACAGGCTGAAGAAAACTCAGGAGATGAAAGCTTAGTGATATGTAGATGTGTTGCCAAATGCCATCTGTAAAGCTAATTCTAGCTCTGCCAGCTTGCCAGGTTTTAGAAAATTAGGATGCAGCTTTCTTTTTTGCCTTTCAATATTTTACTGTATACGCACTCTGGACAGTAAAGTTTATCCTTAAAACCAAAGAAAAAATATTATTTATACTTTAAGAATCCACTCAAGAACTACTGTAAAACAAGGAAACTTTTCCATTTCTAAACTGCTGTTGGTACTGCAGAGTGACTTAAAAAGGAAAATGGAAAACTCAATCTTCATGCAGTCTCAGAAGAAGCAAGCATGCATATTTTTATGTGGAAATGAAACCTTGCGGCAAAGTCTGATACTGAATGTATGATGCATTTATCTTTAGTAACTTGAGCAGACTGCAGATTTGAGTTTTTAAACAGTGAGATTTGACCCCCCTAATCATACATTCAAGAGCTTTTAGCATTTTGTCAATATAGGCCTTTTAACTTTATACAGAAAGAATGCTCTTTATTTTTCCTTTTTAAGTAACAAAAATGTCTCTAATTTATAATTTTTTAAAAGTTGTGGTAATTCAGGCCCAATATACTTCAACTGAAATGATCTTTAACTGCTCAGCAAACTACCAAAGTTAATACAGGTATTAACTATAAAACTACTCAGAAAGAAACAAAGTTCAGTAACTTTTTTAACTATGTAATTCATTTGTATGCACTTCCAGAGGGATCATAGGCCCCCTGAAGTCCATCCATGTCCCGATCAGCTTCCAGTCTTGTCCTGCCTTTTATATCAGTGTTATATATATCAAACCTATTAGTACATTCAAAATAAAGTTCAAAAAAGAAAATACATTAAAGTTTTATTTTATGAAAGAGAAACCATACAGCAATGCCCACCAAACTCTCAAACCTAAAAAATAAGCATATATAAAATAATATTATTGTTACTTTTATAATTTACTAAATTTATTTTTATTCTTGCCAGTAGGAAAGAAGTGGGGGGGGAGGTACAAAGGAAAAAGATGGAAAAAAGAGGCTATTCTAAACTGTGAGAATAAAAAACAAATGTAAACAAAAGTACCTTATAGATTAACTATAAAAACTGAATAAAGTATTCTTATTTCTTTAGTGATAAAGACAAGTTTATGTCTCCCAAATATTCATATGCTGAAACGTATTCCCCTCAATGTGATGGCACTTCCAGATGAGGTAGTTAGGTCTTAAGGGCAGAGCCCTCCTGAATGGGATCAGTGCCTTTATAAGATACCCCGAGAGATCCCTAGCCCCTTCCTCCACGTGAGAACACAGTAAAACAGGGGCTATCTGAACCAGGAAGTAAGCTCTACCAGATACCAAATATGCCAGCACTTTGAGCTTGGACTTCCCAGGCTCCAAAACCAAGTGAAATAAATTTCTGTAGTTTATCGGCCACCCAGTCTATGGTACCTATAATAATAAAAGGGTAATATGCTAATTAGACTGGACGTCCTTCCAGACATCATTCCAGACAAAGCCAGGGCCAAAGGGAAGCCAGCCCGGGTGCCCAGTGCTTGTGGGCAGCCGGAGGGAAGCCTGCCTGGGTCCCAGGTGCCAGAGGAAAGCCAGTGCCGCAACCGGGGAAGGAAGGCTTACTCTTGCACGAATTTCATGCATCGAGCCTCTAGTCTATATATATAAAAGCCTAAGCAACAGAACTGGTCACTATGGCGTGCATTGACCACCAGGGGGCAGATGCTCAATGCAGGAGCTGCCCCCTAGTGGTCAGTGCACTCCCACAGCGGGAGCGCCGCTCAGCTGTCCGGCTGGTGCCAAAGGCAGGGCTCACGGCTGGTGAGTGCCGCTCAGAACTGATTGCGCGCGAGCCCACAGCAGGCGCAGCAGGGCCGGGATGAGCGGGAGCAGCAGGCAGGAGTGGCAGGCAATACTGGACTGCTGGTTTCCGCCCGAACCCCACAGGTCACACTGAAGAACTCCACTGGTGCATGAATCCATGTACCGGGCCTCTCGTACTATTATAACAGTATAGCTGAACAGACTGAGACATTTACTTTTTGTAAATTTAAATTCCCCATTCTATTTGAGGTGGCAATGTGCCCATCTATATTTCTCAACTTCCCTCATCCACAGATGATCCTATGACATAGTTCTAGCCAATAATTTATAAACAGATGCCTTTGTGGAAATTACTAAGAAATTTAATTTCCTCATATAAATAAAGTCCCTTTCCCATTGTCCCCTTCTACCTTCCTCCTCCTCCTTGCCTGCAAGGTGGACCTGATAGCTGATGCTATAATAAGCCATCTTGTGATCATAAGCAAAAGGAAGAAAATAAAAGATTTTTGACCCTAACATCCTTAAGGTACTAAATCTACATCAGGCATTGCCTATGTGGAATTCTTATATACAAGAAAAATAAACCCCTAACTTAAGTGAATGTTTAGCCTGTTTTTTTGTGTGTGTATTTTTTTACTCAGACATTGCTAATTAAAATACACAAAATTCAAAAAAAGGATGTGAGTAGGCAGAAGCATAGGTGAAACAAAATCAATCATGAATTAATAACTCAAAGCTAGAGGTGCGTGGGTTCATTATGACTGATCTTGCCCATCATACATAGGGATTCATTATGACTGATCTCTCTACTTTATATGTATTTAAAATGTACCACAGTAAATTATTTAAAATGTACAAATCCTAGCTCTGCCATTTACAAGTAGGATAGCCTTGGGCAATTTATTAACCTCATTCTTTTGTCAAATTCAGACAAGTAATACTATTCAGAGAACTCTACCTTCAAATCCCGTCAAGACAATCTCCAGAAGGTCCCTGGAAAGAATGTCCACCATCTACCTAATCATCCAAGAATTAGCTCAAGTCTCACTCTTACCCATTCAAGCCAACACGGATTCCTTCTCTGAACTCTTATTTTACTATAACTCATTACCATAGTTTAGTGTCCTACTATCCTCTAATTGTTCCACATGTGGTTATTAAAGCATCCCGTGATGATACTCTGACAAACTTCTGAATCTCTTTTGAACTGAGAAAAGGTTCTCAACAATATTAGCTGATTGTTAGTATTTAAAACTTCTCAGATAATTAATTTACTATCAATTAAAAAAATGCTATTTTAAAAAGTCAAATTGTATATATTTTTTTAAAGTATCCTAAATATGTTCCTAAGTACACAGAACAAGAAGTCCCTAAAAGTAAGCTATTTTCCCTTAGGCATATTTTCACAAATGAGGTTAAAATAAGATCAAAGGATTTCATGATCTTTTCATTAAAAAAAATCAATGTATTGGTATTTGTTTTCTATTTATCATTATATTTTCATTTAAACAACCAATACTGTAGCAGTGTACCTAAAAAGAACACCAAAAAGGTACTGGTGCTAGATATTAAGAGCTATGTTACTGAAATAACAGCAATGAAAAAAGTATCATTAATTTTTATAAATGTTTCCCATTATATTTGCTTTCATTAAGCAAATAATTTATTTTCATCCTGTCACCACTTCATATATGATGCACTATTATACATCAGTGAGGAAAATATTAAGAACTAGGAAGGATAACTTTCAACTCACCAGAAAATAAGCATACAACATAACAGATATAATAAATATAGCCCCACACTTAATTAGATAAAACCTGTATCTCTTTAATCTCAAATAATTATCCATGTAAGTAGGACAAAGATGAAGAACTAGAGCCACAAGGTGAAGGGGACAGACACACACACACACACGTGAAAAAAATGAACAAACCAAAAAGCACTCATACCATTGGTATGTACTTATAAAGTCAACCTAACATTTTCATTACATATCTCACCATATCAAAAGTCCACTATAAAGTTAGACATCTTGTCAGGAGACTTAAACAGTAACAGTCACTCATATTTTCTAGCTATGTAACATACAGTTTAAAAGTACCTGAATCATTTCTTTAAAATTACAAAATGGATTTCAATATCACGGCATTTTTTAATTTTTTTAAGAAAGCTGATATTATTTATCAACATCAGGAGAATTTTACATTCATAAGTTAAATGTTCAATATCCCCTAATATTAATAAAGCACAATACTCTGAAAACATGTTTACATGCAATAAACATGCAATAAATGTGAGGTTTATGAGCTGTTAATTAGCACCTTAAAATATCAGATCATAAAGTGTTCTAAATGAGATTCCTTATTAAGCCACACAGCACAAAATGAAAACTATAAAATTATAAATGGGCTGAAACTTTTGAAATAAATTTTACTTAATGCATTAAACTTTAAATAAACCCAGTAGAGTAACGGCATAAAGACTGCTTTTCCCATTAAGATCACGATGACTACACAATATAAATTCATAGTTAAGAATGTATGGAGGCAAAGACTATCAAGAGCCTATAAATTATTATATATAATCTATACATAGTGTATTCAGAAAATGAAATAAATTCCTAATAGAGTTTTAAATACAAAACACTTAACTGTCTTGCCAGAGTTCCCAATTAAATATTTCATTTATTCATGGTGTTAACTAGGAGTTTTAACATTACATATTTACAAACAAATGAAAATTCAAATAAATACAAATATAAGAAAATTGAAAGGAATATTCTTCTAAAAGTTATTTAAGGAGAAATACAAATATTTGTAATATTTTGTAAGCCCCATTCTCTGACAGGACTTGTCACAACCAAATGCAGTCTGGTTTTTATCAAAGTTTTGATATGTGAAATACATATTTGATACCTACCTTGAATGTTTATAAAGTTTACGAGGTCTACTATGCAATTTCCGATCCCAATTCTCCGGATCACTGGAGTTACTGTCATAAGGATGAGGGCGTCCTGCCATCCCAGTTCAAGCTTTCTCACTACTGCTCTGAAAGCACACATGTAGCACCCATAACCTACATAAAAAAGTAGTGTTGACCTTTAAGTCTATTCCATGCAGAATAAAAGAGTCACAGAATTTTAAATACTTTCAGGCAATACTGTGACATTTTTTTGAAAAATGATATACTGGATTAAAAATACTAGACATATAAAATACCACAAATTAGATTAAAATAAACACCAGAAGTCTTTTTAGATACTTTTCATTTGATCGTTGTATTAAATTTGCTACCATTCTGCAACCGTTTAATAATGTGCTATTTAGTAAATATGTTTAACTACTATCTGTGTACATCACATTTCCAAGCATCAATATAGTAGCAAAAAAGGCAAAAACAATTCCAGAAAATGATTCTTGCAAATGAAATTTCACTTAAAATACATTGTTAATACTGAAAGTTTAAGATGCTTAATAAAGCATCTAGTAAGACCAAATACCAATACTGTTATTTCTTTAGTCAAGTTAAAGACCTTGAATAGAAATTCCCTTGAATGGAAATTTAATATTTTCCCCAAATAAAGCATGTGAGCATCCTGATGTTTCCTAATAGTGCAATTACCACAAAAATATTTTATCAATATGATTCATATATTTTATGTCTTTTCATATGTGAGGTTTGTGACTTATTTGAACAACAGACATATGAAATTATAAGAAAACTCAATACCTTTACAAAATACCTGAACTAAGCACTTTAAAGTATATTCACTTTCCAATTTAATCTTCACAATCACCTTACATGTAGGCATTATAATCTCTATGTACATAATAGAAAATAGTCTCAGAAATTTAGCAATATTGCTAAAGGTCACAATGTTTATAAATGGCAGAATTATAAATGAAAATGAGAATTTATTATACAGAATCTTCATCTCGAAAAATGCTCTGACTATAGTATTTTATTTGGAAATAGATCAGATTTGACATTTAGAGATTGCAAACACCAAAGGAAAAACCAAACATAATTAAACAATTTGAACAAAGTTATGTTAAGTCAGACTAAATTCAGAACCAAGGTTTCCTGATACTCCTATACCTGTACACTTTCTATAAACTTTTCCAAGTTGGATTTGATAGAAGTGAGGAGGAGATGTGCATAAAAGTCAAAGGGAACCCAGAATTAAGAAAAGACTGTATTTTCCTGAGTTTTATAAAGTTTACCAGTACAATTTCACACACAAAAAATGGCAAAGATAAACTCATTAAAATTGTAAGTCTATCTCAGAACTCATCAAAAGAAACCCTTTCGTTTTAGAGAAACTATTTTGCTATGTTTATACTTTTTTCATTAGAGTTACCTAGTACTTTTTTTTTTACAAAAACAATTAAAAATCTTATAAGTGACATATACAATACTTTCAACAATAAAGAATTATCCTATATAATAAAAGGCTAATATGAAAATCGACTGAACGGTGGTACGACAAGTCACTATGATGTGCACTGACCACCATGGGGACAGATGCTCAATGCAGGAGCTGCCCCCTGGTGGTCAGTGAGCTCCCACAAGGGGAGCGCCACTCAGCCAGAAGCAGGGTTCATGGCTGGCGAGCGCAGCAGTAGTGGCAGGAGCCTTTCCTGCCTCCACAGCAGCGCTCGGGACCCCTCAGGAGATGTCCGAGCGTGTCTAAGCCAGCAGTTGGACATCCCCCAGGGGGTCCCAGACTGCAAGAGGGACCCCCCTCCCCTTCCTCCAGTGCATGGATGTCGTGCACTGGGCCTCTAGTTTTAAATAAATAAAAATACAGTTATTTTTGAACCAAAAAGAAAATCTTGTAAGTGAACATTTTAATATAATAAATACATAAATAAGTAGGTAGGTCAATGAAATAAAAATAACAGGAAGGAGAAAGGAGAATAATTGCATAATGGCTAATTTGAATCCTAAGCAAATGTCAGACAGTTCATTTGCTGAATAATACTGGAAAAGAAACCTATTTTCTTAAGGATCGCTGAATAACTGAAAATTAATTGTGTATTAGATGACATAAAAACTATAAAATTATTTTGAAAACAAAAAAAATTCTCAAGCTCATTTGAGTTTTTAGTTATAAAAATAAAAATATATTTACTAAAAAGGGAAGTTTTTGCCCTGACTGATGTGGCTCAGTGGTTGAACATTGACCTAGGAACCAAGAGGTCATGGTTCGATTCCCCATCAGGGCACATGCCTGGGTTGCAGGGGGCGTGCATGAGGCAGCAAATCAATGCTTTTTTTTTTTCTCTAGTTGATGTTTCTCTCTCTCTATTCCTCTAAAATCAACATTAAAAAAATAAAAAAGATTCTATAGAATGATATTTAGAGCATTTTCTCATTTCATAGGTCTTCCAGTAAACTATTTCAGGCATTAACATTTCTTTACGAGAGTATTTTTTCTCCTCCTAACCCATACCTGTAACCCTATGAATAAGATAGACACAAATGTCCTAAATCATGGGATGCAGTGACTAAAAAATATAACCACAAGGAATGGATAAGGTAAATTCAGATTCCCATTTTCCACCCTTTTACAGTGTGTGGCACATCTAGCATCAGGGAAATTCCAGTATGTCTTCATAATCAATCTTATTGAAATTAACAAGCATGTTTTTTACAGCCAGCCACAAGAAAGTAAAGAATGTTCAGATAAAGGCTATCAAAAAAGAAAAATAAACTGAAAAATCACATTTCTATTTCATTTGTCAATAAAACTTGGTTATCACCATGTGAGAGCTTTCTCTCTGAAACTATTGTAATTTAACCTACTTATGAATAACTAGAAAGCAGCAAAAGGAAGGCCAATTAGTATAGGCAGTTCATTTGTGCAGGAACCTGCAGTTTAGATGCATGGTAAAGGTATGAGTGAAATAGGGAAGGTACTCATAAAGAGGACATCTGCAATACTTCCAACAAAAAAAATAAAAAAATAGGGAAGGTATTTGTTTGTCAGTCACACCTGGGAACAGGTCATTGGCCAGAATAAGCATGGCCACTGCAAGCAGAGAAAGATGAGACATTTAATCTCCTGAACAAAGGAGTTCACTCTTGTGCGCTTGGCACTCTTGGGACTCTTGTTGCAGGGGACCTGCTAGCTTGGTTCTCTGAATTTGTCCAGATGGCCCACAACTATACAGATCCCATCGACTGCAACTAGGCTAAACCAGACCAAGCTCCACCATGGAATGAAAGCTTTGGACATGGGCTTTTCATCTAGCTCTACTGAATTCCCAGCTGCACACCTTCCAGGACTGGATTAAGGGAACTGGGACTTTTCAAACCCAGGGATATAATTTTACATCAATAAAAATCACTCATCTTCCCATATAAGTCTCAGAAAATTCTTTTTCTCAAAATACCATAAGGACCTCACTCCCAACAGCAAACAGAGAAAAACCATCCACACATTTCTTTGATAACATCCCCACTCCTCACTCTCAATAGTCAGGAATACAAGCATACTAAAAACAAATGAAAATAATATGCCTGTGTTTGCATATACATGCTAGTTAATTTTAAAAGTATCAATAAGCTATACCTATAACTACAAATACATAAAAGATAAACCATACATTATATACTATTTTGAAACGTCTAATGATTTATTTTAACCACTCTGTCCCATACTAAATGACATTATATTGATCTTATTTCATTCATTCAAGCACTTATTGAACACCTACTACAATATGCCAAGCAATTAACAAGAGGCTGAAGCAAGTCAGACATTGTTCCTGTTCTCAAAAAACCCACTCTAGTGAGAGAAAAGACTCCACCAATGGCTCCATTTACCATTTCACCCATCTCTCCCTCCTACCTGGACAGTTCTTATACTGTTACTCCACCCTGAAGTCATCCATGACATCTCGTTTTCC